CACTTTGTCCCGCCTACTGAGAGTGCCCGCTTCTACTCCCCCTCCCGCTAGCTTCGAGTCCGGGAGGAGCCGGCGAGGAGGAACGGCGTGGTTGGCGATGTGTTTGTCCCTGTGTTTGTCCGGCTCCAAATCCTTGTCTCCGGGGCTCCGGGTTTTAGGAAGCCCAAGAGGGAGGGAGGCGGGAGCCGAGGACGAGAACACATCTGGCTCCCGTTTTGTCCCCTCCCTCCTTCCAAACCTTTGGATTAAAAATCAAGTGGGAGGTGGCGGGGCGGAGATGGGGAGGAGTTAAACTGCAGCCCGAGAGTTCGGGCTTGGAAGAACGCGGCGCTAAGGGGTGCGGGGTGGGGGCGGCGGTGCAGGTGGTCGCTGCTGGCCTCAACATATTAACTGTGTTAGAAACCGAGCTAAGAGGGAGTTGGGCTTTGCCAATGTCCTGAATGGCAGAAGAGGTTCAGTTTCACGGGAATCTTGCGATTTTTTTTTTTTTTTGGTCGACAGAGAGCAAGTGTTTTTCTAGCCTGTCTTCAAAGTGGCTTCGAACTTGTTATGTGGCCGAGACTTTCCTTCAACTCTTGGTCCTTTTGCCTCAGCATTCCAAATGATGGGATTATTCTTGTGCACCACCATGCCCACCCAGAGTGGGCATTTTTAAAAACTCTAATTTGCAGAAAACAAAAGGTACATTGGACCCAGATGAGAAACTTTTGTATTGTGGGCAGAAATGGAGCTCAAAGTAACACCAAAGTATATTAAATTATACAGTAGTCTCTTTCTTGTTGGTGAATAATATCTCTTGTCACCAGCTCTTAAAGTCTATAGTTAATTGGGCCACAGATTACTGGCCCTTGATGGGCTGTGGCAAAAGGGAGACCCGGGAACTCATTACTCTACATGCCATCTTTTTATTTTAGTTTTTTTTTTTAAGAATATGCTGGGGATGGGGAGGGGAGGGGTTGCATGCATGTATGTCTGTGTACCACATGTGGGCAGAAGCTGAGGCCCTTGGAACTCCTGGAACTGGAGTTGTATAGCTCCACATGGGTGCTAGGAATTGAACCAAGGGTCTCTAGGTCAGCCAATACTCTTAACTACTGAGCCATCTCTCCCCACATCTCTTAATTTTTCCTGCCATGGCCTAGTACCCGCCTGAGGTTTTCTGAGTGGACCCATGCAACATTTGGACAATGAACAGGATTGTTCCCGGGACCTTGGCTTATGCATTTGCCTGGGATCTGAATTTGTGGTAATGAAATCCTTTTATACAATTTCTGAAGGGGATGCCATGTTTCCACTTTGCACTGGATCCCACCAATTTCAGAATCATTGGGTATCTCCTGAGGCCCTGCCAGGGAATAAGAGACATAGTCCCTATTCCTTTCTGTGTTGACCGAGGTTTCTGTCCCACCCAGTCCTGCAGTCGTTGAGTCCCAAAGGAAACATGGAGGTCTATATTAATTATAAACTGGTTGGCCTAGTAGCTCAGGCTTCTTATTAACTCATAACTTATATTAGCCCATTATTCTTGTCTATGTTAGCCATGTGACTCCGTACCTTTGTTGGCAAGGCAATCACGTCTTGCTTCCTCTGTGTCTGGGTGACAACTGCAGACTGAATTTCCCTCTTCCCAGAATTCTCATTGCCCTGCCTCTACTTTCTGCCTGGTTGCCCCGCCTATACTTCCTGCCTGGCTACTAGCCAGTGAGCGTTTATTTAAAATATAAGTGCAGGGTACAGACCATGGTCCCACAGCATTTCTGTTTCGGAATCCTAATAATGATCATTTCCTTCCTCCTGAACATGCCTTGAGAGACATTTTCATAGAGATTTAGCTAAATGGGATTTTAACTAAACAAACTAGGAGATTAAATATTTGCCTTGAAAATAGAAAGCTGCTGAATAATCCCATTCTAAAAAGACTGAGTCAAGGGGATTGAGACACATTCAAGTCATGCCTGGTCTACATAGGGAATCCTAGGCCAGCCAGAGCTATTAAGCCAGATCTAAACAAAACCACAAAAAGAAAAAAAAAAAACAGTCATGGTGGGTCATGTCTGTAATTCTAGCATTCTAGAGGCAAAAAGGCAGGTGGAGCTCTGTGATTTTGAGGCCACTCTGACCTACATAATGAGTTAAAGGCCACCCCTGAGCTACATGGTAAGATCCTGTATCAAGAGGAGTAGTAGTAGTAATAATAATAATTTTAATGATAATAATAATAATACTGACCAGCAGCAACAACCAAAACAAAACCCCTATACAAAACAAAAACAGACTCTCTTAGAGGTATACGCATAGAGAGAGATCCACAAGGTCTTCAAAATAAGAGTCCCACTTTTGAGTCAGGTATAATAAACTGGTTGATTTTTTCTTTGCTCTTCACAACTATGACCTTTGTGGACACACTCGATTCTCAATACCAGTGACATGGAGCAGTAAGGACACCAGACCTCATGAATACCTCCATTTTGGTTTTCTCTTAAAAATCCTGAGGCCCTGAAAGTGAGGTTTCTATTAATTCTTCAACTTTCACAGGGATAACAAAGCAAACCTTGTCCTTTTTATTGTTTTGTTTTTTAAGGTCCCGAAGAATATGAGACATTCTGGGTGTGGTGGTAGACACCATTAATCCTGGCATTCTGGACATAGAGGCAGGTGGATCTCTGATTTCAAGGCCATGCTGGTCTGCATATCAAGTTCCAGGCCAAATAGAGTCAACTAGTGAGACCTTTGTCTTTAAAGGGGAAGGGGGGGGGCATGATGACTGTAGAGATGACTCAGTGGTTAAGAGCAGTGGTTGTTCTTCCAGAGGACCCAGGTTTGATCCCCATTACCCACATGGTCTCTCACAACTGTCTATAAACTGTCTCCAGTTCCAAGGGTCTGATACCCCTCTTTTTTTTTTGTTTTTTTTTTTATTTTGTTTTTTTGTTTTGTTTTTCGAGACAGGGTTTCTCTGTGGCTTTAGAGCCTGTCCTGGAACTAGCTCTTGTAGACCAGGCTTGTCTCTCACTCACAGAGATCTGCCTGCCTCTGTCTCCCAAGTGCTGGGATTAAAGGCGTGCGCCACCACTACCTGGCCTCTGATACCCTCTTCTGGCCTCCAAAGGTACCAGGCACCTATACACATAAAAAATAAAAAGTGATATATTCAGAACAAGGAGGATGAGTTAGCATGAGGCTTGCCTTGCCATTGGAGGATCTATGTTCCATCCTTAGCACACATTTGGTGGCCTGCATTTGTAATCCTAATGCTGGAGAGGTGGTAGAGGCAGGCAAAGTCCCCAGGGCTCACGAGTCACTCCTGTGACGTAACTGGCAATTCCCAGATCCCAGTAGATCACTGTCTTTTAAAAAAAAGCATGATGATTGGCTCCCAAGGAAAAATACCCAAGATTTAGCCAGCTCCTCTCCACCACCACCACCCCCAACAGTGCTTGCACACAATGAATAAGACATTGCTGTCAGTAGGGCCCTTGGCTATGAGAACTCTGAATACAAACTATCTGGAAAGGGCACCTTTATTTTGCCTGTATATAAGATACAAGTTGAACTCAAAGAGTTTTTACACGGAGATGTCAAGAGAACCAAGCTAAATATTGTCTCTCCGACGAGGATGATTGAAGACATTCTTGAATGGATGTGGGATCCATACCTGTTTTGGATGACTAGCTCTTGGATTTAGACACAAATGGGGAGTGTTGTGTGGCATGGCCTGGGTATCCTGTGCAGCATACTCCAGAAGATGGCTGCTTACCCACCAGAACAGTGCCTTATGAACAACTCGGATTATGCCGATCTATTTCTAGAACTTGTTGTAACATCTCAGGAACTATTTGTATTTGTGTTGACTTGTTCCACAGATGTCTTATTATTTTTCTCATTCTCTCTGCCACTCCCACAAACTAAAAAAATCATGTTCCTTCTCAAAAAAAGAAAAGAAAGAAAGAAAAAAGAAAAAAAGAATCGAAGACATTTGAAAATAAGTATTCGCTTGTGCTGATTTTAAAATTTTTCAGTTCAGAAGAATCTTCAATCTGAAAGTACGGGGCATGGCAGCATCACCTGTATTCCCAGTTCTTGAGAGACTGAGGCAAGATAATCACTGTCAGTTGGGACACATAGTTCCAAACTAGTGTGAGATCCTGCCTCAGAAACAAACAACAGAAACAACAAACAAAAAACCAAAAAATCGCGTGGGTAGCACAGTCTTATGTCCCAGGAGGCAGGAGGGTTAGTAGTTCAAGGTCATTGAGTTCCAGGACGCCCTGAGCTACTTGAGATTCCCTCAGACTTTGAAAGAAAGTGTTGACTCAGTAAGAAGGTAAAACTTCAAAAGTACTATCGATCTGCTCACTACTTCACGGAAACCCAGCCGGGCTGCTGGCCTCTTAACTCCTCGGGCGGGGCGGAGGAGACCCCGCAGCTCTGCCTTTTCCCCCTGGGGGCTGCCGGGGGAAAGCCTGGAGCACCCCTCCATGGAGGCCGCAGCAGCTAGCGGGACCGGCAGGCCCAGTATCTGGGCAGATCCCAATTTTCAAGCCTGCGGCCGGGGGGGTGGGGAGGTGTTGTTCGCAAAGTAGGCATTTAGGCC